CCAAATAAAGAAAACCAGAGAGTGGGTAAGGCAAGAAGCTTCTCTGGAGCTTTGTCCCCCACACCAAGGGCTTGGTCACTGCCGAGGACCATCCCAGCCCCTACAGCCCAAGGATTTGTGGCACTGAGGGCAGAGCCTGGGTCCGACCCGGCTGAGCCCCACTCTGGGAGTCACACTTCTATCCCCGTGCAGTGCTGTTCCCTGGCTTTCACCATCCTGGCCCCTTCTCCCCACATCCACCAGCCCTGTGCAGCGGGGATGCAAAGCTGGGTGATGTAAACAACCTGCATCAGACAGCATGGCTGGGAGCACCAGTCACCCAAGTCCCAACACTTATCTCTAAGTCCCAGAGACCAGCAGCCTGTTCTCTGAAACCCCACGTCACCACTCTGGAGCCACACACCCGGCGGCTCTGAGGCCACAAGCCCTGTGGATGGTGCAGCGTGGCTTTGCTGCTGGGGCTCAGGTGGGCAAGTCCGGAGGACTGAGAAGAGTGTCTCAGGCTCAAACCCACCAGGCCCAAATCTGCTGCTAAGGAACTGGCAGGGGTTTTACACCCCCACCTCAGGTTGCCAACTGAGATGTCCACAGGGCACAACCAGATAAACTACGTGAAGGCCATAGATGGCAGGGAGTCAGCGAGGACAAGCCAACTGAGAAACTGAGTAAAAACTATATGCAGGCCACACGAAGCTGGTTTGTAACCTCCGCACCAGTGTAAACTCCAGAGCAGAGTTTTTCTCAACCTTGCTCAGTGCTACTGACCTTTGGGGCCAGAACATTCTGTCACAGGGGGCTGTCCCATCATTGTAAGATTTTGCCTGGCATCCCTGGTCTCCACCCACTAGATGCCAGTAGCATGCCCCTCCATCTCTAGTTGTGCAAACTAAGAACAGCTCCAGACATTGTCAGCTGGACCCTGGGGCCGAATCGCCCCTGGTTAAGAATCACTGTATTGGAGTCCAGTGAAAGGCAGAGTCCTGGGCTACCTTGCTGAGCAACCTGGAAAGTTTGCTGACTTGAATTTCAGTGCCACGCTTCAGCATTATTAACCATCTCCATTAATGAGCTCTGACAGTGTATTTTGCGCCCTGTGAATTTTCACTGGGCTTCTGAGAAAAGGTGTCAGGGCAGGACAGAAGGGAGCACAGGGACTGACCGGTCGTGCGTGGAGAAGTTGCTGCTGTACCGTGTGTCTTTGGCATATTTGATCACCAAGCACTTGTACTGGGCAATCTGGAAGCGGCGGACCCTTCTCATCAGCTCGGTACTGCAAGAGCAGAGTGACAGGTGAGGCCGACAGTGGGCAAGGGAGACCTCGTCAATACAGCCAGGCTCCCCACTGCCTTCTAGGGGTGTACGGCCTAAGACCCACCAAAGGACAGAAAGAAGGCAGGCTGGGTGTGGGAGAGACCAGTGAGGACAGGAAGGGCCTGTGCTCTGAGAATTTACAGTAGATCTAAGAGGGGCAGAGACAGCGCCGAATGCCACTGGAGCGCCTGGGAACTATAGGTTGTAAGTTGTTCTCTATGGGGAGGGTGGAAAGGAGTGGCACCCAGCTGGTCAGGGGAAGGGCTGGAGGCACAAGTTTCTCAGGGATATGGTGGTGTGGGTGACGGCAAGTGCCACATGCCCAGGAGAGGGCTCCAGGTTGTGTTTCAAAGCAATGCCATGCCAGAATTCTTCCCCTAGTCTGAACTGACTTCATAAAACCTTGTGCAAAGAAAGCATTTTGCCTCTGGGTCCAAGAGCCTACCCTAAGCCTCACTTTCTGGAAAAGGGGTCTGCAGTGATACCCCAGGGCCATCAAGGAATGGGCCAGGGGAGTCACTCAGGGGCGCACCAGCCTCACCTCCGACAGGGAAAGTTTCTGTCACGTCAGGGGAGCAAGCCCTGGCTTGGCCGCTCAGTGTGATAATTCTCATCTAAGGAAACAGTCCCCTGGAAGGTGTGCTGATTCTGCCGGGCCGCGGGGCCTGGCCTGCGTGCACACGATTTCTAAGACTTGGACGGACCTTTTCGTGGACATTAGTGAGGCGCTAAAGTGTAAGCAGCTGTGACCAGCTCCAGGAAGCGCGGTGTTTGAATGACTTTAATGGGAGGGCCGGCATCCAGGCGGGAACTCGGTCCCGCAGGGGAGTTCGGATTGCGAGCGCCGCCGCAGGCCAGGGCGGGGCGCCGGGGAGGAGGACGGGGTTCCGGGGAAGAGGTGGTCCCAGCTCCCATCCACGCCCCCGTGGAGTCATTACCTTTTTCCTGAGAACATGGGTCCGAGAATCACCTAGGAGAGAAGAAGTCACTTCAGGGCCCGCTGAGCACGGACGCCAGGGCACCAGCCACAACCCCCAGCCCGCTCCCACCCCGACTCCTCATGCCGCGATCCGACCGGCGCCCGCACCTGGATCTGCCCCCGGGTCTTGCTGGGGGAGCCGGGCAGCACAGTTGGCAGGTTGATGCAGCTCATGGCGCCTCCGGAAAGCTCACAGCCCAGAACCAGGAGACTGCAGCCGTCCCACCGCCTGGTGGCGGTTCCCGCGCCCCTAGAGTTTATTGCCGGCCGCTGGCCAATCGCAAGCCGGAGCCACCTCCCCGGAGCCAATCACCGCGCGGCTGCGGACTGGCGGGCTATTTGGCTTTAGCCCGCCCCCTGGTGGGCGGGGCCCCGGAGCGCCCCGGGCTGCGGCCCTGCGGGCGGTGGACGTGGCCCCCAGCGTGCTCCGCCCCTCGCCCCGCCCCTCGCGCCTTCCCTTTATAAGGGAGCTGACTGAGCACGCACGCTGCGCTGTAGCTGGCGGGATGGAGTCCCCGCGCGAAGGTCCCGAGTGCGAGGCACCCTGGAAGACGATGTCCAACGAGGTAGGCGGGTTGCAGGCGGGGGCTGGGCCGTGCCGGGGCTGAGTAGGTCAGATGGCAAATCCGCAAAGGAAGCTTAGAAGCTGCTCGGTGGGCATCGCCGAGGGCCTGCCGTGTGTCAGCTCCGGAAAGCTTTAGCACGTGGTCTATTTTACTGCTCGCCACAGGAAAGCTTTTGTTAGCCTCATTTTCAGGGTGGAGAAAATTCAAGTCCAGGCTGTGTTAATATCCATAAACCCACAGGGGTTGGGGCAGAAATGCTGCCCTTAGTCCTAGGTTATGCAACGTTTGTGGGGGCTGTGCCAGGATGGAGAAAGGCCGTATTTACCAAAGCAGCCGTGAGGGCAGGGGACAGCGTGGGCAAAGCCTCCTGATGACTATCGTTCAGTTATACTTACCTGACTCATGTACCTGCATTTTAGGCAGTCGTTCTTCTGATCATGGACACATCCGAGCATTCTCAGTCACACACAGACAGACACACAGCTGTCTACATACAGTATCAACCGACTCTCAGAAACCCATTGCATAATCATTATTATACATAATAGCTACAAAAATGGTGTTAGCAGTCACGGGTATGGCTGTAAACATCCTACAGGTACAGACTCTCCAGATCCAAAGACCTCCAGCTCAGAAACCCATTCGAGGGGAGGAGGAAATAAGCCACATTTGCATAGTTAGCTTTACTGCATTTACATGCCTTATGTCTTGTAACTGTGAGGCTGGCATTATGCCCATCTTATAAATGAGGGAACAGAGACCCAGAGACTGTAAGTCGATTGCCCAGGGTAAAACAGCCTGTATGTAAATGATGCAGCTTGGATGGCACTCAGCCTATCCGACTCCAGAGTCCAGGACCTTTCTGTGAAGCCACCATGTCTTCAAATTTCCGAGTCTGACCTCTACCCTTTCTCCTTCGCCTTTGAGACCTTTCTCCAGAACCTCGTTCCCTGTGTCTTTTTGTGTTAAGTCTCAACATCTTATCCTGACGTCTGTCATCTGCCAGCCCCAGCTTTGCAGCCTCACCTCTGTTTCATCAACACTTCCAAACTGACCTTTGATGCCTGCCTCTCGCCT